ATACGATTATATTATAAAATTATATTATCTTTCTAATTTAAAAATAAATTTAAATCCATAACTTTCAAAATTAAAAATAATTAAATAAATGACAACAATTTGGCAAAAACTTTAAAGAGCATAAGAATATTATTCAATAATATTTTAGGTTACTTTGAATTTTCGATTTCTTAGAAATGTACTTTTAAATCGTTACTTTTTTTGCTTAGTACTTGTACTTTTACTTGTACTTTTTACTCGTTACTTTTTAAAATATGAACTTTTTACTTTTTACTCGTTACTTTTTTTAAAAATACTTGTACTTTTACTCGTTACTTTTTAAAAGTAACGCTGCCATATATGATCAGCACTACTAATTTAACTTTCACCTATGAAGCCCGTGCTCTTTATTTTATTTTATATATTACGATCATCGTTCCATTTTGTTTCTTTTTTGTAGTATACTGAATAAATAGTTAGTATAACTTAAAGATGTCATGTTCAGTCAATACTTGCATAACTCAATAATTTCTACATATTTTAATGACTTAGTATTTACTAAAAAGATGTAATTTTTTTAAAAAGAAAAAGTTGTTATACGGATTTGAATGATTGTTTTGAATTCTTAGAATTTTGTGCATTCGCAATGAACCTAAATTAGTAGCGAGTGAAGCGATCTTGGTTTGCTAAGCAAACCATATAAGATTGTGTAGCAATTTTCGGGGGTTGGTGAGTGTTAGCGAGCAGGAGGCGCAGCCCACTAGTATTATTTATTACAACAACCTAATCTCGAAACGAAACGCGCATTTGCGGAGTCCGATTAATGTGATTTCGTTGTCAATCTTCTTTTTTCGGCAATTACCACTATGAATTTCATGATTAACATCCTCAGACACAACCATTTCCTTATGCAAAAAATATTTTGAATAAATTGTTTAATATTAACATTCTGAGTAAAATGTCATTGTATGACGAAATTTTATGAAAGAAAACTTTTTTTTGTAGATTGACTCCACTTATTAAGTTAGTTAATAATTTATGAAGTGAACTATATATTATTGCAATCATACTATTTCCAACAATGTACTAAATTATACTAAAAAATATTTTTTCAAAGATTTTTTATATTGTGAAACACTGTTTATTGTAGACTTTGCTGGGTTTTCAGGTGGTTTACTATACCTCGGTCAGACGTAAGTTTTCTGTTGTTGTTATTTATGCCACTTGCCAATACCAACAGTGGAAAACCATAGGAATTTCAGTCTGAGGGCCCATGCCTTGTTTTTCAGCGGTGCCATCTGTGGCCAGGAATAAGATTTTAGCCTGATTTTTGTCAGGGAGGACCCATTCATACTCCATTCATTCATCCACAGAGATACTGATTTGTTTTGGGACCTTCGAGGACTTTGTGACCCTGAAAGATTTTTGGTGCACCAGCCACCTTTAATACACAAGATTCTTCAGCCCACAGGATTCGATCTTACGGACACAAGCCAAACATCCTTCCAACCTGGCTATCTCCGCTTCTTTTCTTTTATATTTTATTTTTTACGCTTAAGTTAAATCAAATATTCAGAATTAATGCAATCCATTAAGCTCAATAATTATAGTTAAACAATGTAATTTATTCAGCTGAAATAACATTTAATTGCATTCCTGATATCACACATTAGATATCAGGAATTAGTATAAAGCTGAGATCATACTTATTAAGGTTGTATTTTTATGATTAGCGAATTACAAGTAAATCACAATATTTTAAAACAGCTGTAAATCCTACTGTATTTTACAATATTGTCAGTTCTTCCAATATAAATTAATGTTTTAATGACTCCAGAAATGCTTTGGGAAAAATTAAGTGGTTTGATTACAAGATAGGATCTAAGTAGGCAAATTATCTAATGTGTGATATTTAGTTACCTGAGTCTGCTTGTTATTATACTCTTACTTTTCTACTAATTTAATTCTGTGGATTTTATCTGTTTTATTTTCTTAATTTATTAAATATTTTTATTCGGTTCAGTTTATTCTATCAAAGTTTTGATTAAGATTAATAATTTTGTTATGCTGAGATTAAATTGGAATTATTAAATTTGATGAATCAAAAACTAACCTCACTAATGAAAAAATGTGTTGCTGTTCTGTTTGTAAGTTTTGATATTCAATTAACACATTCAGTTAAAAATGTCTCTCCTTCCTTATCATTCATGTTGATTATAACTTCTCTGTGTTTTATTACATTTTTAAAACTTAATAAACAAGTTAGTCATACTTATAAGTTCATTAAACCTTCATCCTATAAGAATATATAATAGCTTTTTGTACTTCTCTGTCTGGTGTAGATTTAACGTGCCTTTGAAATTATTTTTTAGGTAAAAAAAGGAAATGTTTTCAATATTAATTTTTATTTGTTCTCTTTTGTATAAAGTAGAAATTACATTTTTTTGAATTTTAATTTTTTTTCACTCTATAGGTAGGGTCGATGTAAAATTTAACTAAGTTAATGTATACAAGTTTGTAACACAAATAATGATGTTAATTTTTTAAAATTATTAATAGGAAAAAGAGGAACTTAGAAGAAGTGTCCAAGGAATCCTTGATAAACTCACGCCACGGAAGTTTGGAACTCTATAGACTCAAATCAAAAATCTTAACATCGACACTGAAGAAAAACTGTGCGCAGTCATTGATTTAATATTTAAGGCAGCTGGGGCAGAGGCAAACTCCAGTGTCCCCTATGCAAACATGTGCAAGCAGTTGGCATTAGTAAGCCAACTAATTTTGAATAAAATGATTGTAAAATGTGTTGTTTAGGAGCAAGACTTATTTAGCTCAGATTTATTTGAAACTCTACTAATCAGGACTCTTCTGTAATTGTAAACTCTTATTGTTTTTTAAAGAAAATCTTATTTTTTAGGCTTTTTGAACACCTGAAAAATTGACAAAACAATAAAGGACGAGCAAGATCAAAAGTTCCGGTTTTAAATATTGGCTGTTAATTTTCTCAATTCTATATAAATTTTATGTATATAAAAGCAAATTTAAAGTACATTACAATTTTCTTTTTTCAGATTTATTGGTGAACTCTTTTGCCTTGGAATGTTAACCGAACCTATCATGCATGAATGTATAAAGAGGCTCTTCTCCAAAGGAGATGAAGTATCACTTGAGTGTTTGTGTCAATTTCTGAAAACGATAAGTAAAGAATTAGATGATCGAAAAATTAAAGGTTCAAAGGAAAGTGTAAGTGTTCTTTGTTTTCATTTTTATCTGTGCTTTTACTTGTAATAAAATGTGAGAAAAAGTATTCTTTTAAAAAATATAAGTTTAAAAGAACAACTTATCTTCAAATTAAAAAAAAAATTTGAAAAAGCGTATTAAACACATTACTTTCTGATTTATAGAACAATAGACCTTTATACAGATTAGTTCTTGTCGATTCTGAATTCTTTGTCAAAAAAGTATATGCAAACTAACTAAATGAATGCATTGTCTAGACTAAATGAAATTTTTTCCCGATGATGTTCGAAGATAAAGAAGAAGAATGTTTGACGAAAGTTAGTTTTGGCAGTTTCCTTTTAATCGATAAAAGTAGAGCCGAAATTGTTTGTTGGGTTTACAAATTTCTACAGTGGTAAGATAAAAATTTTTAAATTGTTATATAAATGTTTTTGAGATCTTTAATGACAAAATTTTGTTAGTAATTTGAAAATTTGTCGTAATAGCGAATTTTTTGCTGCATGCAGTATTTGTTGTATCTAATTTTCTCTGTACTTAACACTTTACTTACCAAATTATTACAAAAATTATCAAAGTGTGAGTAACTTTTTTGTCCAATTAAATATAGTTTATTTTACATCTTAGACAAAAAAAATTAAAAATTAAATGTTATTTTCTGATTTACATTGCATTATAAAATTTTAATTTAAGTCAAACATTTAATTCCGAAAAATCTTCCGAATTTTTGCTGATTTCAGGGACTGACTAAGCATTGTCAAATTTTTTTCTCTAATGACGATGGAAAAACTTTTTTTCTCTTGTTCATTTCATTGTTGGTGACGCGCCGTCCTCTTTGTCACTGGCAAGCAAATAAAACTGGGTAAAGCCATCAATTGTCAAAAACTTCTCAACTCTGCCTGATTATGATATTTTTTTTAAAGTGCTTGAAAATATTTTTTGAGTGCTTGAAAAGTGTTTAAAAGGTGCTTTTTATTTGCTAATGAATTTAGCTACGCATCCTGCAAAAAGCAAAAAATGTAATAAAACTGGAATAAATCTTTAAGTTTAGCCAGAAATCAAGTAACAGGGGGAAAACAATCTTCAATTGTTGTTCTTTCTCTATTCAGCTCTTTATTCAAATTAAGTGATGTCTTTAAAAAGGAGTCATCTCTGTTTACTTTTTAAAAATGTAAAGAAGTCTTAGATGAAAAATCATCTACTGGAGGGTTTCTGCTACCGAGGGATATAACTGTAGAAATTTTTCCTTAAACGTAATGGCATAGTTAAATTTAATTATGTTAAACACGTCATGAAGAAGAAAAATTAATATCGCTAAGAAAGATTGAGCAAAAATTAATTTTAACCTGTGAAAGAAGCATAAAGAAATTAAACTGGAAGATGATAAGTTTAATTAGTAATAATGAAAGATTGATTCAGCATATCTTTTAAGTTTGACTCATTTATTGAAGTAATACAGTCTATCAAATGTCACTAAAAAAATCAAATTTTCAATTACTTTTTTACTTTACAAGTAAAAATTGCACTAAAACATAAACAGAGGGACATTTTTTGAGCCAGCAGTGACTGTTAGTTTTCTTCTTCAACCTAGTTTGCATAGTCTCAGCTCATTGGTTTGGCAAACTGCTGCACTCATTGACTTCTGGAAAAATAGACAGCTTCTCTTCTTTGGCGCTGTGGTTAACATTTGCTTATTCGTGTGGGGAAGATTTGTCGTTAGTCTATTTACGAATTAAAAAGTATCAAAATAATTAGTGCTAATTAATAAATGTAAATCATCATGGAATAAAAATAGTTTGATGCCTAATAACGCCATTATCTAACACATCATGTGTTAGACATTGTTATTAAAAACTTAAATGTTAACAATATTAGTTCGTTTATAATGCAATTTTTTTCTTTCTTCATTTTCCTGAGTTTTATGCATTTTGTTTCTTTTTCAAAGTTTTTAATGTAAATGCAATTTTTTGGTTGTAGTTTTTGTCATTATATATGCGCATACATAAGTGCATGCTGATCTTTAAAAAAATACAAATATTAGGTATATATAAAACATTTGTGTAAGTGGGTGTTTTATTGAAATATAGTATAAAATATGGCAAAATTGAGAAACAAAATGGAGCAATGAAGACATTTATTTACATGGCACATAATTTTAAGAAGAAAAGAAATATTCAAGAATTCGTGTGATTTATAAGTTTATAGCATGGTGACCAGGTTGAGATATTCTATATATATTGTAGAATAATAATATTTATAACTTTAACATAAAATTACTTTTATACAATTCTTTGAAATGAAAAAAAATTTGAACAACCTTATTTAATAATTGTATTTTTGTTCTCAATGCCCCTAATCTCATGTGAAGCAAAACAATATTTTCGAATTTTATTATTACTATACCTGCCAAGTGTCCTGTTGCCATCCTGTCAAGTGTTTAACGAAGACTCCTGTATTTTACGACTATAACCTTTTAACCCATATATTCTAAAATTTCTTTGTATTTTTTGAAGAAAGTTATTTAAAAAATTTTTTACCCAATAAAATATCCGCTGGTGGCAAAAATACTTCTCTTATTCCTCAACAGTAATGCTATTGCTAGCACATGTTATTGCTAAGTTGAGTGTTAACAATTTAAGTACTCCGTGCTGTCAGGCTAACTGTGGGACGTTTTCATGGTTTTCCTCTCCATGCAATGCAAATGTGGGTTAGTTCCTTCAAAAAGTCCTCCACGAAGGCAAATTTCGCCTAGTATTTGATTGATCCAGGAGTTCCCTTGTCTTCTGGATTGGGTTCAATTTGACAAGGCGACAGAGTTGAACATTAGCAGCCGTAAATTCAAGCAATTGGGATGGCTGTTTAACAACGGTTATAAAATAATTTGTAAATAATGGTTTAAAAAATCTTGTTTAGATTAAGATTTATATACATATTATTTTGCTAAATGTAAGTGTTTATATTATTTTCATTTTCGAATTTCTCTTTTTGACTTACATAATTATGCATGATGTATCAAAACTTTACTCGTAGCCTAATAAATGTCGCTAGTGAAATCTCTGTTATTTTATTTCATTCATGTGATTGATCATTGTTTTCAAAGTATATACATTTATTCCGCAGCTACTGTCAGTTCCTTGGCTAAGTTTGGCGCTCACTGTGAAGTGCTTCTGCCAAATATTTTAGTTCTATGCAGAGAAGCCTCCTGGATTATGATGATGAAGTGAGAGACAGAGCAACCTACTATTTAAATATCCTAAATCAGAAAGAAGCAAAAAGGACTTTACTCCCAATTCATCTTGAATGGTACATCTCTTTTCTTTATTGAATTTATAAATAAAGCTTTGAAATTTATATTCACAATAGTTTAATGGAAGTAGGTATGAAGTGATGTTTTAAAAAAGCTTAATTTTTCAGTCTAAAATCAACTATGCCAGAGATGGTTTCCAAATAGAAAATGTGTACAGTTTCCTAATTATCAAGGGTTGCCACTCCACAGGGGAAATATAGGAAATTTTAAAATCACCTGAAATAACAGAGAATTTTGATTTTTCTTTTTCCTTACAATTTTAAAATATACAAGGAAATTAGTTTCTTTTCGTCTTTGAAAAATGGTGACCACTCAATGCATAATCTATGCCATAGGTTGTTATTCCAACTCTACTAATCTCTTTCATTTACTATAACATTATTTAACTATGTTCAGCTGTTCCTTTTTTTTCTCTCTAAGTATTTGCAGCAAATTAAAACTAGCATAGTTAGCCTAATATAACTCACACAAGAGCACAGTAATTGTGTTTCCTTTTAATATATTGTGAATAATGCATGGTGCGTAGCGTTTTTAAAAAATGCTTAAAGGTGCTTATTTGCGATGTTCGTTTTTAAAAAGCAATTAAAACTACTTTTTTCATGAGGCAATTTTAAAAAGTGCTTAATTTTCCCTTTTCGAAGAATTTTTTTTTCTTTACCATGTTGCTTTTCGCTGCGTATTATGCAAAGCGTGATTTTCACATTGTTCTAGTCAACGTTTTCACAATTCATTCAACCACAATTCATTTCGGCATGCTGTTTGTCCGTAGCGTATGATAGCACCCATCATCGTGACATATTTGGTGAAATACTTGGGGGTCTGCATGCGCGTCTACTGAGCTGGATTAGTTGAGATGCTTGCACTCTCATGTGCAACACTGCTGCATTTTCTTGAGATATTCTCGATTTCAGATATTGAGATATTCAGGCTTCATTTTCCACCCTCTGATGAACTGAAAAATCTCTCAATCTTTTTATGGTGGCTAATATAATCAAGAAAAGAGTTTCTGTCAGAAACTAGTTATTTAATCATGATTATGTAAAGTCCTCGAAAATTATTTTGTTAATGTGTTTAGTACTTAAAAATATTTTTGAGGTGCTTAAAAAGCACTTTAAAGGTGCTTATTTTTTGTTGGGAGATTTGTGTACTCACCCTGCAATATGTACAGGAAAGTTTTTTCCCCAGATTTGAGAGGAAACCCTGGTAAAGTTTTGAAATTTATATTTGCAATAGTTTATAGGAAGAAGAGTTGAATATACAGGATTATATTTTGAAAAAGCGTAATTTTTTTGTTTAAAAATGGTTTCCTACTTACGCCATATTGTTTTAAGCTGATGTTACTAAATGCTGCTTTCACTAACACATGAAGTACACATCTGTTCAATTTCTATTAGAATGAAATTACTCTTAAATGCAAAAGTATGGTTGAAAGCATTAGATAAGGTAAAAGTTAACTGTCGGATCTGCTTTGGGGTTAAAAAAAGTTACATTAAGGTTTCAATTCATTTAAACTAACAATTTGTGAATTTGTGGTTTAATGGTTAGGCTATCCGCTTAATGCCGGAGAAGCTGTGGAGGGGGGGGGGTTCAAATTTCAGATGGGGCATTTGATTTTTACCTCCAAGTTTCTGTTCTAAGAACTATTTGGTATATTTTATTCAGTTTATATTATATTTTAATTTAAATTATTTTTTAAAAAAAATTTTAATTTTAGAAGCAAAAAAAACTAAGTATTTAATTGTTTATTCTTTTTTATCAAAATGTATGGATTTTTTTTTAAATTGTCATTTAAAATTTTTTGATAAACTAACTGAATTTTTTTCAATTTTATAATAAATAATTTAAATTTTTTATTAAATCTAATTATGAAAATGTAAACAAAAGTATGTTAGACTAGTTAAAAAAAAAGAAAAACTATTTATTACATAACTAGAAAATCATTCTATTAAAAATACGAAATTTATTTCGAATGCATTCTGATTATTTGAAATTTAATGGATTATAGTTAAGTAATAAATAGTCCTTTTTATTTTTAAGCAAGCCTGATAATATAGTTTTGTTCATATTTTCATAATTAAGTTTAGTAAGAACTTAAATTTATTATAAATAAATACAAATTTAGTTATTAAAACATATTTATTATAATTTTTTTTAAAAAATGAGAAATAATCCTTATGTTTTAATTAAAAATATTAAACATCGATTCATTTTTTTTGTTCCTATAAATTTTAAGCTTTTTTAAAAAAAATTTTAAATTGAAAAATAACTTATAAATAATTAATAAATATTTATCCACTTGCAAAATAATATTTGATAAAATTCAATCTCCTCAGCTGGGATACAAACCACCGACCTCTCGTGAATAGACTAGCATTTACAATACAAAACATAATGAGCTGGAAAATTTGTTAGTCTAAGAGTAACTGAAATTGTATAATGGGGCATATTTTAACCTAGGGGCAGAGCTGACAGCTAATTTTTACCCTGTCTAAGGTTTTCAACTATGATCTTTGAATGTTCCACATGATTACAATAACGAGGCGACGAAAGTGCTCCCTTTCACTGCTCATCAACGCATTTTTTTAAGGTTTGTCAGTTTCTATTGTTGGTTTGGAAAAAGCTTTGCATCAGTACTCATTATGACCTTCAGAATTGCCCGTCGATATCAAAATTTTATTCCGAAATGAGAACAGAAAAATTAAGAATCTTTCGTTTCTTTCTGATGAACAAGAAAATTATCTTTAGAATATAATCCTGCAGAGAAAAAGAAAAAAAAATTGTTTTTGTATTTTTTTCAGCTATTTTATTGCTTCAACTCTTTCGTTAATCTGTTTTTTTATATTTAAAATCTATAAGTATGAAGACGCAGAGTATAACAGTTTTGGTTATACCTACCATTTCAATTAATGTTATTATAATGCTTTTTTAAATTTATTGTTGCGTTTTTGTCGGAGAAAATAGTAACTTTCAGTCATGAAAAGCTCTTCAAATTAGTCCTGGAAAGTCATGAATTTGAAAGTCTGAAATGTTGCAGATATCCTGTGTATGTAAGTATGATTATTTGATATTGTTGATTTGTCATTTTCAGATGTTTCCACCATTGGGAAGTCCAAAGATAAAGTTGCTGCTTCACGTCAAGATATATTTGCAGGTGACGTATTTATCCTTTTCTTTATTTAGTTTACCACAATTTTTTGAAACTTTTGCTCCAAGAAAAATAAAGCCACAGTAAAAGTGCCTTAAATTTTAAACTACAAATGAAACATTCTCCGGTTAGTGCAACATTTGTGCCCTTCTCTTTTATTGAATTATTTCCACTACAAGCGATGCTGAAAAAGTCAGTTAATTCATTTTTCAATAACAATTAATAATTCTGCATACAGCCTGATATTTATTTTGGCAGCCTATTGTTTTGTAGGAAAATAGCTGTCTCGCTTGTTTTCCAGATAAAAATGGTGTTTTTCTAGAACGTCTGGAGTATGCGTAGTTTCTAAGCTCAATTTAAGGCATATGTCTGTGCGCCGGTGCAGCAGCTATCATCTTGATGCATCGGAGCTCTGATTAAGCGGCCAACATGAATTGACATATGCCATGTAACGATATAAGGGTTTAACTTTTATTTTTTCTATTTTTATTGTACTTTTTCACAGAACATTTCAGATAACCAATTGGTCTATTGCGATTTTTTTAAATTTATATTAATATATATATACCTGGCATCATATTATGGACAATATAAAACTTGAATGTCTAATAATACCGTAATAAAAATGACATTTTTTGAAATCTCGTTGAAAAGTGGTAATAACTACTTAAAAGTAATTTAGATTTACGTCAGAAAAAACTCGTGGAAAAGCGTAGGAATAACTATTTGAAAAAAATCCTTCATATTTACGATAAAGCTTGCAAAGAAAGTGTAGAGAAAAAAGATTATTTAAATATGTGATTCAACTTCAGGATTAATAATATTATCACATTTAAAATTTCAAGATTTTTAAAACTTTGCGAAAATACGTTGCTATAACTGCTGAATAATCCAGAGATATTCGATGAAATCGACAGAAGTAAATCGCGTCAAAAAATGATTAATCAAATATGCGATCGATAACTCACTAGTCAAAATATCGTATTAAGCATTTCGGGATTTTAAAAATTGTACGGACATAAGTAGTTGTAAATGCCGAAAGAAGGATCGAAACGTCATTTGTATACGTCAAAAAGTAATAACTCAAAAGAGCAATTTAAAATTTTCATCATTTTTTTTTAAGAAATTTTGGAGAAAAAAAATTATTTTGCATACCTGAATAGTTTCCTGTTCGAAGAATCCTGTTTGAAGACTCCTGTATTTCATGTCTGTTTCCTGTTTACCAATATATTCTCAAATTTCTCCGTATTTGTTAAAGAAATTTTTTTTAAAAATTGGCGATAAAATATCTGCTAGTGTCAAAAATAGTTCTCACATTCTTCAACAGATAGTGCAATACCCAATAATAGTTTAAGTAGTTATAAATAATGGTTTAAAAAATCTTCTTTAAATTAATATTTACATACGTATTTTTTACTTCACTAAATGAAAGTGTTTATATTATTTCCAATTTTGAATTTCTCTTTTTGACTTCCATGACTAGGCATAATTTACTCATAGCCTAAAACATGTAGCTAGTAAAATCTCCGTTATTTTATTTAACCAATGTTGGCAGATATGATTGTGTTCAAAAGCTTTCGCAGGCTGCACATAAGCAGACGGTGGGCCGCAGATTGTGCACCCCTATGGAAGAAAAAGCATCCAAATATATTAACCTTTGCCAATACTTTTCAATTCATTCAAATGCTCACAAATAAATATTTTGATTGATATTAAAAAAAACAAAATAGTGAATGGAGTCCCTCCGCGCGGAAGAAGTTAAACTTCGCAACCTGCAACGTTAATTGAAGAAGAATCACAGTCGTAGAAGGATTACCAGTTCTATTCAACAACACTTTTTCCTGCTCCGCTCGCTTCCGTGCTCTGTAATCACGGTAATATTGTGCATTTTTCCCTCTTCAACCAGTGGAAGTGCTTGTGGTTGCCTCATCGTCTCGTCCTGGAAAATTTATTTGTATTAATAATGTATGTGAATGCGTCATAATGTAATTTCAGAAGAGAAACAATCAATTGATATTCACAAGAGACGTACCTTGACATAACTTTAAATCCGTCGCATTGTCCGTGGGTCACTCATTTTTACAATTGGGTTTACTATAGCCTACGTCACAGGTTGTGTTATTCCTACAAAATTTAACCCATGAACGGCATTTTCTGCGAGCCTAACTTCAAGCCACAAATAAACAAACGAAGTGTTTGATCGTTTAAATAGCTGCTCGCCAGATTTTATTGCATTATAAAGAAAAGTAATTGATATTCGATTTTTGATTAATAATTGATTTATGTGGATAGTGGCATTTATGTGGATAGTGGCATAGAATTTAGCATTGCGTCATGGTAAATGTTATTCCTACTAAGTGGAAGNAACATTTTGAATAGACCATATTATTGTATATTTTTTTAATCATTTACAAATCAATATGAATGATGATGCATCAAAAACATACACATTAGTCTATATTCAAGAAATTTGTATAAAAATATAATTCATTGTTTTACAATATTTTGAACGTGAAATTTTAATACCGTAGCATTATTGTTTGTATTAAACTTTAAACATTCTACAATGTAATGGTTTTAATTGAGCTGTATGTGAAATGTAGCTGATTATTTATTTTCAATTGTTTCAGCATGGCAAGTTTGTTAACATGCAATTAATTTATTATCTTTTACATTGTTGCAGAAAAATTCTGTCACATACGAATTACTAAGCAAACGTTTTACAAGCATATTCTGAATTAGTTACAGTACTTATTATTTATAGTTAGACAATGCGCTTTGACAGAGAAGTCAATGATCACAATTTATAATATTTACTGACTTTATTAGATACGTGATAGTTAATTAACAAAGCTTTGTTTAAGCGTTCAAGATTATTAAGTACACTGAATGTTTCTACAACATAATCCTCTCTAACAAATCGTGCTTTATATTACTTTTCTAGCTGATATTATATCTTTGCTTAGCGGGCAAAATAGACAGTTATAGAGATATAGACAGAAATATGAGAATGAGAAGTCTAGGTTCATAGAATTAAAGTTGTTCAGTGCTTATAATAAATTATACACATAATACATTAACAGAGTTGTAAATTAAGCAGTATTAATTTTAATTGTTTCTTGTGAAATGCTGATAAGCGATGTTTGCATTTTGCAGGACGTGTCTTGACATGAAAAAGAAGAAAACTATTTTCCGCTGCATGATAGTTCTGGTAAGAATTTTAATTACGCAATTCAGAAATTTTTGGACTGTTCAAATATAAAGAAAAGAGCTTTGTGGTTTGCTTATTTTTTCTGACAAAGGGGGAGGTTATAAGTGGTGCTGACGTAGGACACTAAAATTTACTCTATTTTTTGTTGAGTCACGAATTACTACAATGAGCAAGCATTTGAAAGTAGAATTCTGATTTGTGTCTCCTGAGTATAAAAAGTTATGACTTTTTTGTATTGGTAGGAGAATTGATGCAAATTTTTGCTAAGCCACGAGCTCTGAATATTTTATTTAAAAAAATTGACGTTTGAAGGCACAATTTAAATTTGTAGTTTTTAACACTAGCTAAGGAGAGTTTGAAGAAACTCCGTGAACTTGAGACACGAAAAAAATTCGGAACAGTCCTCGTCTATTACTATTCAAATACCGTGGCAAAAGCAAATGTGCAAAATCTGAAAGACAAAAAGAACCTTAGACAATAAATTTTATCAAACCAGCGTGGAACTACGATTTCCTACAAAGCACTATTATTAGGATGAAACATTTTACTTACTAGGCAAAAAGAAAGCTAAAAATTGTTTTGCACACTCATTTTTTATTGGTTTACCAACAAATTAATTTATTTTGTATCTATTTTACAACTGTGGTTTATAGGGGGGGGGAAGTTTGCTAGAATTTGTTTTGGTAATAATATTAATGGATTAGTAGACTAAATGAAATTTTTTTCCCGATGATGTTCGAAGATAAAGTGACGAAAGTTAGTTTTGGCCGTTTCCTTTTAATCGATAAAAGTAGAGCCGAAATTATTTCTTGGGTTTACAAATTTCTACAGTGGTAAGATAGAAATTTTTAAATTGTTATATAAATGTTTTTGAGATCTTTAATGACAAAATTTTGTTAGTAACTTGAAAATTTGTCGTAATAGCGAATTTTTTGTTGCATGCAGTATTTGTTGTATCTAATTTTCCCTGTACTTAACACTTTACTTAGCAAATTATTACAAAAATTATCAAAGTGTCAGTAACTTTTTTGTCCAATTAAATATTGTTTATTTTACATCTTAGACAAGAAAAAAACTTTAAAAATTAAATGTTATTTTCTGATTTACATTGCATTATAAAATTTTAATTTAAGTCAAACATTTAATTCCGAAAAATCTTCCGAATTTTTGGCTGATTTCAGGGACTGACTAAACATTGTCAAATTTTTTTCTCTAATGGCGATAGAAAAACTTTTTTTTCTCTTGTTCATTTCATTGTTGGTGACGCGCCGTCCTCTTTGTCACTGGCAAGCAAATAAAACTGGGCAAAACCATCAATTGTCAAAAATTGATTATGATAATTTTTAAAGTGCTTGAAAATATTTTTTGAGTGCTTGAAAAGTGCTTAAAAGGTGCTTTTTTTTGCTAAAGAATTTGGCTACGCATCCTGCAAAAAACAAAAAATGTAATAAAACTGGAATAAATCTTTAAGTTTAGCCAGAAATCAAGTAACAGGGGGAAAACAATCTTTAATTGTTGTTCTTTCTCTATTCAGCTCTTTATTCAAATTAAGTGATGTTTTTAAAAAGGAGTCCTCTCTGTTTACTTTTTAAAAAATATAAAGAAGTCTTAGATGAAAAATCATCTACTGGAGAGTTTCTGCTACAGAGGGATATAACTGTAGAAATTTTTCCTTAAACGTAATGGCTTAGTTAAATTTAATTACGTTAAACATGTCATGAAGAAGAAAAATTAATATCGCTAAGAATGATTGAGTAAAAATTAATTTTAACCTGTGAAAGAAGCATAAAGAAATTAAACTGGAAGATGATAAGCTTAATTAGGAATAATAAAAGATTGATTTAGCATATCTTTTAAGTTTGACTCATTTATTGAAGTAATATAGTCTGTCAAATGTCACTAAAAAAACAATTTTAAATTACTTTTTACTTTACAAGTAAAAATTGCAGTAAAACATAAACAGAGGGACATTTTTTGAACCAGCAGTGACTGTTAGTTTTCTTCTTCAACCTTGTTTGTAGTTTGCACAGTCTCAGCTCATTGGTTTGGCAAACTGCTGCACTCATTGACTTCTGGAAAAATCGACAGCTTCTCTTCTTTGGCGCTGTGGTTTGTTTGCTAGTGTGGGGAAGATTTGTCTTTAGTCTATTTACGAATTAAAAAGTATCAAAATAATTAGTGATAATTAATAAATGTAAATCATCATGGTATAAAAATAGTTTGATACCTTATAACCACATTATCTAACACAACATGTGTTAGACATTGTTATTAAAAACTTAAATGTTAACAATATTAATTCGTTTATAATGCAATTTTTTCTTTCTTCATTTTCCTGAGTTTTATGCATTTTGTTTCTTTTTCAAAGGTTTTAATGTAAATGCAATTATTTGGTTGTAGTTTTTGTCATTATATATGCACATACATAAGTGCATGCTGATCCTTAAAAAAATACAAATATTAGGTATAGATAAAACATTTGTGTAAGTGGGTGTTTTATTGAAATTTAGTATAAAATATGGCAAAATTGAGAAACAAAATGGAGCAATTAAGACATTTATTTACATGGCACATAATTTTAAGAAGAAAAGAAATATTCAAGAATTCGTTTGATTTATAAATTTATAGTATGGTGACCAGGTTGACATATTCCATATATATTGAAGAATAATAATATTTATAATTTTAACATAAAATTACTTTTATAAAATGTTTTGAAATGAAAAAACAATTTGAACAACCTTATTTAATAATTATATTTTTCGTTCTCAATGCCCTTAATCTCTTGTGAAGCAAAACGATATTTTCGAATTTTATTATTAACATACCTGCCAAGTGTCCTGTTACCATCCCGCCAAGTGTTTAACGAAGACTCCTGTATTTTACGACTATAATCTGTTAACCCATATATTCTAAAATTTCTCTGTATTTCTTGAAGAAAGTTATTTTAAAAAAAATTTTACCCAATAAAATATCCGCTGGTGGCAAAAATACTTCTCTTATTCCTCAACAGATAGTGCTATTGCTAGCACTTATTATTGCTAAGTTGAGTGTTAACAGTTTAAGTACTCCTTGCTGTCAGGCTAACTGTGGGACGTTTTCGTGGTTTTCCTCTCCATGCAATGCAAATGTGGGTTAGTTCCTTCAAAAAATCCTCCACGAAGGCAAATTTCGCCTAGTATTTGATTGATCCAGGAGTTCCCTTGTCTTCTGGATTGGATTCAATTTGACAAGGCGATAGAGTTGAACATTAGTAGCCGTAAACTCAAGGAATAGGGTTGGCTATTTAGCAACGGTTATAAAATAATTTATAAATAATGGTTTAAAAAATCTTCTTCAGATTAAGATTTATATACATATTATTTTGCTAAATGCAAGTGCTTATATTATTTTCAATTTTGAATTTCCCTTTTTGACTTACATAATTATGCATGATGTATTAAAACTTTACTCATAGCCTAAAGCATGTAGCTAGTAAAATCTCCGTTATTTTATTTCGCCAATGTTGGCAGATATGATTGTGTTCAAGAGCTTTCGCAGGCTGTACATAAGCAGTCGGCAGGCCGCAGATTGTGCATCTCTATGGAAGAAAAAGCATCCAAATATATTAACCTTTGCCAATACTTTTAAAAACTTACCTGCACTTTAAAAAATAAGGGCACATTTACTAAAGCTCAAAACTGATTGTCGCTAAAACTTTTATTTTTTTTGTAAAGTTAAGTAAGTTCTCTTTAAAACAAGAACTGAGACATCTCTGATATTTTTAGTTTGATTTTTTCAGATCAATTGTCGGCAGTTCCAGAGGTCTCTTCATTGAACTTGAGTCCATTGTTTAAATCTTCTCTTCCTACTGAAATTCTCACTGAATCCGAGACTGAGTTTATTGTTAGATGCATTAAACACACATTCACTTATCACATTGTGTTGCAGGTAAGAAATCTTTTTTGTAGTTGAACCTCAATCATTTCTCCTGGGACCATTAACTGCAAACAATAGAAAGTTTGTATTACAGACAGAAAATTGTTTCAAAGTGATTGCAAATATTCATTGTTGGCGATGGTATTGAATCAGTACTTCATCAGTTTCTGCAATATAGCAAGTTTCATGAACTGATGCATAAACATCAAATGTGATGTTTGAGGTATTTTCACCAAATTATTAGTTTTTAACTATTGGTATAATTTCTGACCCCGCAGCAGAATCGTGGCGGCGCTGTCGCAGAACAATACCGAATTCTTGCAGAAAGATTTTTCTTTTGTAAAGTAAAAAATTTTGTCTTTTTTTTCTGCAGAAATTTTTAAAAGGTTTTATCTTTTCTTCAGAATTATATTTTAAAGATGGCTTTCTCGTGCATCTGAGTGAGGAAAAATGCTTATGATTCTTCTATTCTCATTTGAGAATAATAATAAAAAAAAGAATAATGAAGTAAAAAATTTAGTTTTCTTTTCTGCTAAATTAATTTTTATTCATTTATTACTATTGATTTTCACATTGTTTTTAAAAACCAATATTTTCAATACGATATTATTTATCACAATTACTGAATCTCAAAATGGAATCACACATTTAGTAACCTCTCTTGAAGAGTCCGATTTGCGTGATTTCGCCGTTGATCTATTTTTTTTTTGTGGTAGTTTTAGTTACAGATATCAAAATTTTTTTTTTAATGTGATGATACACAAATTGCAAAAAAGTAAATAATTAATGTGTTTTCCTGTTACAAAATGCGAGAATATTGCCCATAATATTAGAATAAAAATAATACTACATATTCAATTTGAAAAATTATTTAATTTTATCCGGAAAGTTGTTTGTTTTGTTTGAAGTTGACGTTTCTGTTACTTTAAATTAGTAACATGTGCAGTTGTTATTATTAAAAATACCTAGCAGAAAGACATTAGTACTGATGAGCTATGTTGCAGAAAGCCCAAAAAAATTTTGCCACAGGGATTTGTGAACGATAGATGTAAAACTCTGATAGTTTCAAAAACTGTCTCAACAGGCCCTTTTAATGTAATAAGAATATCATTTGTTATGGGACTATAGTGTATCTACCGCTATAAACACAAAATTCCAATTCACTAGTATATAAGACATGATAACTCAATTCTGTGTTGGGGTACCTTTCCATAGATGAAGGTTGACATTGTCTATAACTTCTATCCCCACAATGGTGACCCGGACGTGACCATCAAAACAAGACAATACGTCTGGGAAAACAAAAGATGAGGGGAAGATGAAATGCTGTTCTACTGAAATAAAATAAATACCCTTATCTTTAAGAAGGGGTTTCTTGAAATTGTGATAAGGGAGGGAGACATGAACTGTGGATTGGTTTAAATAAACATTTAAAATCAACGATTTAGATATTTTCTGAATTATATACTTTAGAGAATTATTTATTATAACTATTATTTTGAATTATTTATTAGGGAATTACTTTAATTTAAAAAAAAATCAGTTCTTTTTTCTACCTTTTTATTTTTTCTTCCCTATATTCAATACAAAATGAAATTGATTTTCTTAATTAAACGTATTATAACGCATAGTAACTTTATATATATATATATATATATATNTTAAAAAAAAAGGGCACATTTATTAAAGTTTAAAACTGATTGTCGCTAAAGCTTTTATTTTATTGTAAAGTTAAGCAAGTTCTCTTTAAAACAAGAGCTGTAACATCTCTGATATTTTTAGTTTGATTTTTTCAGATCAATTGTCGGCAGTTCCAGAGGTCTCTTCATTGAACTCGAGTCCATTGTTTAAATCTTCTCTTCCTATTGAACTCACTGAATCCGAGACTGAGTTTGTTGTTAGATGCATTAAACACACATTCACTAATTACATTGTGTTGCAGGTAAGAAATCTTTTTTGTAGTTGAACCTCAACCATTTCTCCTGGGACCATTAACTGCAAACAATAGAAAGTTTGTATTACAGACAGAAAATTGTTTCAAAGCGATTGCAAATATTCATTGTTGGCAATGGTATTGGATCTGTTGTACTTCATCAGTTTCTGCAATATAGCAAGTTTTATAAACCGATGCATAAACATCAAATGTGATGTTTGAGGTATTTTCACCAAATTATTAGTTTTTAACTATTGGTATAATTTCTGACCCCGCGGCAGAATCGTGGCGGTTTTATCTTTTCTTCAGAATTATATTTTAAAGATGGTTTTCTCGTGCATCTGAGTGAGGAAAAAATGCTTATGATTCTTCTATTCTCATTTGAGAATAATAATAAAAAAAAAAGAATAATGAAGTAAAATAAATTTAGTTTTCTTTTCTGCTAAATTAAATTTTTTATACACTTATTACTATTGATTTTCACATTGTTTATAAAAAACCAATATTTTTAACACGATATTATTTATTACAATTACTGAATCTCAAAATGGAATCACACATTTAGTAACCTCTTTTGAAGAGTCCGATTTGCGTGATTTCGCCGTTGATCTATTTTTTTTTTTTTTGTGGTAGTTTTAGTTACAGATATCTCAACTTTTTATTTATTTTTAATGGGATGATACACAAAATGCAAAAAAAAGTAAATAATTAATGCGTTTTCCTGTTACAAAATGCGAGAATATTTATCGTAATATTGGAATAAAAATAATATTACATATTCAATTTGAAAAATTATTTAATTTTATCCGAAAAGTTGTTTCTTTTAAAGTTGACGTTTCTGTTACTTTAAATTAGTAACATGTGCAGTTGTTATTATTAAAAATGCCTAGCAGATAGATATTAGTACTGATGAGGTATGTTGCAGAAAACCCAAAAACATTTTGCCACAGGGATTTGTGAACGATAGATGTAAAACTCTGATAGTTTCAAAAACTGTCTCAACTAGCCCTTTTAATGTAATAAGAATATCATTTGTTATGGGATGTAATGTATCTACCACTACAAACACAAAATTCCAGTTCACTAGTATATAAGACATGATAACTCGATTCTATGTTGGGGTACCTTTCCATAGATGAAGGCTGACATTGTCTAAAACTTCTATCCCCACATTGGTGACCCGGACGTGACCATCAAAACAAGACAATACGCCTGGTAAAACAAAAGATAAGGGGAAGATGAAATGCTGTTCTACTGAAATAAAATAAATACCCTTATATTTAAGAAGGGGTTTCTTTAAATTGTGATAAGGGAGGGAGACATGAACTGTGGATTGGTTTAAATAAACATTTAAAATCAACGATTTACATATTTTCTGAATTATTTACTTTGGAGAATCATTTATTATAACTATTATTTTGAATTATTTATTAGAGAGTTACTTTTATTTTTCTTTTTTTAAAAACTGCAGTTCTTTTTTCTACCTTTTTATTTTTTCTTCACTATATTCAATACAAAATGAAATTGATTTTCTTAATTAAAGGTATTATCACGCATAGCAACTTATTAAAATTATTCCTAGCATAGAAGTTTACAGTTTTCTTCTTTTTGTAGTTCTGATCTCTGCTTTAATCTTCTGCATAAACACTTGTCAGTAACTTTATAAGCTAAAAGTATTTAATATTCGTTCTGCTTAGTATGCATTGTTTACTTTATCTCTTCCTTTTAATGAAATTTCTTTTCTTACCTAACAGCTCTAGTCATCCAATTTTATTTTTCAAGAATATGTTTGATATTGTTTCTTAGAGAGCTAGTTATACAATCTTGAGGAAATGTAAAAGCACAAAAAAAACTGTGCATTGTATTATACTCTTCAACGCTGATCCTAGCACAAAGTCATTGACTTCTGATGCAATTCGCTCTTTGCCATTCAACATCTTCGTAGCTAGATGAAATCAAAATTTTCTACGTCAGCGGGGGAAGAGATCCTCGCATGTTATATCTCCAAATCACAATCGTCTTATATTGGCGGCTTAAATCAGATTTCCGATGCTTGTAAGAAACAACCGCAACTATATAGCCATGACGATTTGTCCATTAAATTGATAGTTTGCGATTTATAGCCCAGTCCTAATCATTGGATGATCATTGCTTTTCTATTAGCTGATCCATATCGCTTTTCTTTTCGCTGATTATTTTAAATCTATGTTGTTATTTTAAATCTATTAACGTATTGTTTTAAAAGAGGATCTGTTTTTCCTAAAAAAGGGACACTGAAATTTGATTGTCCGAGATCCTCAGAACCCATAGTTTATACAATCTAGCAGAATCACTACAAAATATGCTTTTCTTCCATGTCAATTATAAAACGAAAAGGAAAAAAAATTCAAACGTATTTTTTCCGTTTAGTTTTCTCAGAATTATTCATCTCATAATATTAAAATATTGCATGATATAATGATGTGCTATTAATGCAATCTTTCTTCAAAATATATTTTCCTGCATGTAGTAACAAAATAATTGAAAAGCTCTTGAAGAAAAGCACTCTTGTTTCAGTTTGACTGTACGAACACCTTGTCAGATCAAGTGTTGGAGAACGTTTATGTTCAGGTTGACCCCAGTGAGATTTTAAAGCGGTTTGTTACTCTCCTTGTTCAAAATTACAGTACAGTGCTCCTGGTGCAGCATATGCCTGCATCAGCTTATCCAATGATCCTTTAGTTGGTAAGTTTTATTTAATTCTCAATGTTTTTGGATCTGCATGCTATGTATAATTTGTACACGGAAGGAACTCCTCCCACCACAAAGTCTGAGGCCATCTGCTGCTATGAAAACAAGAGTAGTGCATTTCAGGGAGAGTAGCTTCACTTTCCCATAGGGTTAACACAGAAGAAAAAGATACCCTTTCTTTTTTTGAACAGAGCTAAAACCTGTTCTAAACAGTGACCCCACAACCCTACTTAGAATAATAATTATACCTCATTACCATAGTCACCGCTACATGCCCCAGACGAATGTCTAGGAGATTTCTTACTTTTGGCAAACTATATGCAGTGGTGGCAAATATTGCAATTCAATAGTCTATTACAGTCTTACGATTAAGTTCTAAAAATTATGGTTTTCAGGAGTTTACGTAATCTTAGTCTTAAAAAAAAACTTCGAAAAAAAAACATATTCTTTAAAATAATTTTTTTTCCCTTAACTACCAATAACTAAT